TTCTACATCCTGAACCACAGGGGAACAAGAAGAGAGAAAGTCTTTGGGGTTGGTATATTAGTCAAGATTTTCTAGAGTAACAGAACTTCTAAAATGAATCTCTCTGTATACATGAAGGGAGTTTATTGTAATGTAGCTTACAGGCTACAGCCCAGCTAATCCAACAGTGGTTGGCTGTGAATGCAAAGTCCAAGAACCCAGTAGTTTCTCAGTCTACAAGGCTGGATATCTAGGCTGGTCTTCAGTATATGCTGGAATCCGGAAGAAGTAGGCTGTAATGCCTGTGAAGGAATGGATGTGCTAGCAAGGCAAAGGGAAGCAGGCAAAGAGTGAAAGCTTCCTTCTTCCATGTCCTTACATAGGCTTCCAGCAGAAGGTATGAACCAGAATAAAGACGTGTCTTCCAAACTCAAGATCCAGATTAAAGATGTGTGTCTTTCTACCTCAAAGGTCTGGACTAGAAGTGGATTCACCCACTTAAAACCAAACCAAAAAAGAAAAAAGAAAAAGAATCTCTCACAGATGTGCCCTCCATTTCTGGTTTGTAGTTCATTCCAGATGTAGTCAAGTTGACAACCAAGAATAGCCATCACAGTTGGCATGGGCTTTTGAAACCTCAAAGCCAACCCTCAGTGATACACTTCCTCCAACAAGGCCTTACCTCCAGATCCTTTCAAATAGGGCTCAATAGTGACCAACATTCAAATCTATGAGCCTATGGAGTCCATTCTTTTTCAAATCACCACAAAGTGTAAACAAACATAAAACTAAACTGTAAATAGATAATCACTGCACATCTTGGAGGGTGATATGCAACCCTGGTCTTTTTCAGACAACACAGATGCTGTGAATTACACATTCAGCCCTCTGTGAATAATAATTTGAAGAAAAAAAAATTCTTTTTAGGTAATTGCTCCAGGAATGTTACAGGGACTAAAACTATGTGTCTCAAACTTATAGAGCGGGCAAGTAGAAGTATAAAAATAGCTGTTCAAAATTATTTCTACAGCTAATCAGGATATCTAATATTTCAAAACTGACTTTCACACCTAATAGAATAATTCGATAATATTAGTTTTAATATTAATAATAATAGCTTTTTTTGAGACAGAGTTTCTCTGTAAGAGTTCTGGCTGTCCTGGAACTCACTTTGTAGACCAGGATGGCCTTGAACTCACAGAGATCTGCCTGCCTCTGCCTCCTGAGTGCTAGGATTAAAGGTGCATGCCACCACCAGCAGCTACATTTATTGTAGTATGTGTGTGTGCATGCACTCGTGTGCATTAGCACATGTGTGGCAGTTAGAGAATAACATGTAGGCGTCAGTCCCCCCACTATGAGGGGCCTGGCATTCTACTAGAGTCATCAGCCATGGCAGCAAGTGTCTTTACTCACAGAGCCATCTCACTGGCTCATTAACTTTTTAACCTTGATAGGATAAGAACTTAATTTGAAAGTCTTGTCTAGGGGTTTCAGTGGATGCTATGATTTGCAAATGAAAGAGGTGTATGAGCCTCATCCCACCAGTTCTCATCCTTGATGCAGAATTTCTCAAAAGGAGAGAGAACCAAAGACTTCAAAATCACCTAGTATTCTTATTAAAAATAAGATTCCCAGGTTCCATCCCAGATACTGTATCTGTATCCCCAAATTTGGCACTTGAGGGCAATGCATTTAAAAAAAGCTCAGGCTCAAGCCAGGCTGTGGTGGTGAGCACTTTTAAATCCAGCACTACAGAAGCAGAGGCAGGCAGATCTTTGTGAGTTCCAGTCTGACCTAAATAGGGAGTTCCAGGACAGCCAGGACTACACAGAGAGACCCTGTCTTCAAAAACAAACAAGTAAATGCAAATTTAAAAAGCCTTTTCGTACATTTTGTGAATCTTTACTAAAGGAAATTGAATGTATTAAAGCATTTTCACAAAATAAGTGCCCAAAATATTCATTCAAACAAAGGTTTTTCTTCCAATGCCATCAATTTCTCTCTTCCCAGAGAGTGCTGTAAGGAACTGTTAAGTAGAGGATGTTAACAATCACCCAGGGGAAAATGTCTGCAAACTCTAGTGGCTGGTACAGGAAAGACGCGAACATATAGCAAGGTGGGAGAGAAAATGTTGAGAGAAATCCTCTGGGAGAAGAGTGCACACAGAATGAACAGAGAATGCATGTTTAGGGTAGGGAGAGAAAATGTTGAGAGAAATCCTCTGGGAGAAGAATGCACACAGAATGAACGGAGAATGCATGTTTAGGGTAGGGAAAAGGAAGGTGAGTGACTCAGCAGGTCAATGAGATGGGGGGTGGGGGTGAAGACTGGAAGGTTCCATACACTCAGGGCTCCTTAAAAGAGATGGCTCACAGGTTAAGAGCACTGGATGTTCTTCCTGAGACCAGAATTTTCCAGCACCCATGTGGGGGCTCACAACCATCTGTAACTCCAGTTTCAAGGAACCCAATACCTTCTGGCCTCTTCGAGCACCAGAT